CTAGGGCTTCAACTACAACAGGGATTGCTGATGTTCCCATGTGTCACATTTTTGAGATTTCTATTTCAAATTCCTTGCATTTTGACAGCTTTTTGAATATCTTCAAAGATATGTTGCAGTCTGCAGGGACTGCGATATCAATAAGGAGGCACTTTTTTTTGTTTGTGGACTTTAATAACAATGTCTGCGCGGTTGGCTTTGACTGTTCTGTCAGTGTGTATTGTGTAGTCTCATGGAATTGTAATAGGTGTCCTATCTCTGTAATCGGGTCTGGGTGTTGTTGTTGTTGTTATTATTATTATTATATTTCGTGATTTTTACTTTTTAGGTTTGTCACTTCGAGTCTGATAACTTTAGGGTGTTTGTTGAATCAGTTCGTATCGAAAAGGATAACTTTTCTTTTAAATGTGTTTAATAGGCTCGTTTTTCAAGCCAAGATATATGAGAATTTTGTCGGAAAGCATCCTTTGCCAGATTCCTTAAAGTTTTAGTTTAGTTTTCAACCTTATCCAATAGATAGCCGAACGTAAAAAAATAATTTAAATTTATGATAACCTTTGCAATGCTTTGGTAATTGTTTGCTAAAGTTGGCACGGTTAATTGTATGGATATTTAACTATTTGGAAGTTTGTCAAAACAGATTCGTTCCCCGCTACTTAAACATATTTGATCTACGTTCTCTAAATTTGGCATCAAACAGATCTAAAATGAAAGCTTATTCGTTTCATTGCCGACACTTGAAATACTTTCCTTATTGGATTTGATTTTTTTTCTTGAATAAATATCCCAGATTAAAAAAAAAAAAAAAAAAAATTATTCGCCCAATATGTTAAATATATCAGAGGTAGGTGCCAAATCTACATAAACTCTTTAAATGTCAATGGTGATTTTAAAATTAGCCGTTTTATATAAAAAAAATAATAATCAGTATCAATTGACGCACAATGAGCGTTACTCTTCATTTCAATTTATACACTCTTATCAATAAAATAATTTATAAACGCTTTGTAATGACAAAAAGTACGCAGGTGTAAGCTTTAAGAAAGCTTTATTCAACTGAGAATACAGGTTCGCGTATAGTGTCCTTTTATAGTCCCAGTAAATAGAATAGCTTTCTCAAAGGGGAGAGTAACAAAACAAAGGAAGAACACTCTTGATTATTCATAACACTCTTAACATTAAAATAATTGACAGGCTAATATTAAAATAATTCTTCATTAAATTAAATTTCTCAAATCCAGTAAATGTTATAGATCTTGCTGATACTGATGCAATTTCCCTTCTGCCGCTTTTGTTGGCAGTGTGACATTATGTCCTTATTTTACTTTCTAGTTACGTATCCTAACCATTTTTGTTTGCTGTTTGGAAGAGTTGAAGTAACGTGGTTTCAAGTAACGTGGTTTGTGTTATTTGGTAAAGCGCTTTATTGATCAAAACAGCGGTAACATTGTCGATAGGACCCAAACATAAATAACTTTCTGGTCGGGTAATCAAGTTCGCTAAGATGGTCTTTGATTGGAGGTGTTATCAAGTTTGTAGAAGCCATACCCAAGTATCTTTATTTATTCTTCAAACTAACAGATAATGAAAGCTCTCGGCCTCCAGTCATGATGCTCTGCTGTTTCTTCTGCTCATGATTCACAGTCGGTCACCATTAATGGAATATGCTCACTTGGTTAACCTCAGACGAATGACATACAAATCTTTGATATCAATGACAGATTTCCTGTTAGATCAATGATTAAAAATAGCTTTGAGCGAGAATAGTCTACGGGTTTTTTTTATGAAGAACCCATTTCTTGTAAACATGTGGATTGGTGCGACAGAATCATAGACAAAGAACTGTTCCAAATAACAGAAACCACATGTCTTGAGAACATTCAACAATGGATAAAATGGATGTCACATGTTACAGGATGAAAAATAATGATATAATCAAGATGTTGACACTCCACAATACTTCAGACAAAAGGTTAGAAGGGAAACTTCCTTCAATATTGGAAAGTGCAGTAACAGTTAGTGGACTTGAGAAACCTATTTTGCTGAGAAATTCTTTTAACAAAAAGTTTTTACAAATTTCAGACGATAGTTGTACAAGCCTCTCGTATGAATGCTGACTATTCCCTTGTAAGGAAACGGCTTATATTACTATTGACATTATTATCTTAATTTGGCCTAACGAATAATATCCAAATAAATTCTTCCAACTAGTTACATATGGAATACATAAGACCCATTCTTCTTGCAGCAGTAGAGCATTTATTATTATTATTATCTGTTCATGTTATGCTTCCTGCTTTATATCCTGCAAAGCTGACTTCAAAATATGGACCTTATGCCCTATAGGCGAATTGTCGTTTAATTGGTAACACTTTTCTTAGTATATGTGATGTTCCTAGTAGGGCTATTTTCTGGTCAACTTGTATGTTGATGTTACCTGGAACACTGTTAGTAAAACTGTTCATTCCTTTTCTCACGAGGCCCAGAGCTCCGATTACTATTGGTACAGTCTCAGTCTTCATTCCCCACATCGAGTCTTCTAATTTTTCAAACTCTCCGGTATGAATTTGACCATTGTTGTGTATACTCTGTATATTTTAGGCTATACTGTATCAACGAGTATCGCATACTGTTGAAAGCCTTTCTATAGTTGATTCATGCTATTGATAAGTTTCTTTTATTGTTCTATTGATAATTAGTTGGCCCTTGCACCCTTAACATCCTCTTTTACATTCCTTCAGTTGGGAGTAAATTTTTTCCTCAAGGAAATTGTATGCCCTGTCGTTTATAATTTAATTGAACATCTTGTACATTGTTGGTAGGCAGGTGATTGGCCTATAGTTCTTCGAGTTCTGTATCTCTTAGGTTTGGGGGAGTAGCTATATTAATCCTCACGTGAGCCATTTGGGGAATTTTTCTGGGTTTAACGTGCAGGGTCTTGGTGGGTGCTAGATAGATTTTTTTTAATTTTTGGTTTTGTAGATGGCATCGGTTTTTTCAGTAATATTGATATCTGTCCATTTTTTGGCACTCTATATGTGTGTGTTGTTCCTGTTGTTGTTTGATCCATGTAGCTCTTTCATTGTGCATTTTACAGTTTTCCTACATCTTAAAGCAGAACTCCACGACTTCCTGGTGGGTAGTTTATCTCTGTTATTTTCCCCACTTCTCGAAATAATTTCTTGGCATCTTCTTTGAAGATCTTGTTTTGCCACAATTATTATTATTATTATTATTATTATTTATACTACGAATCCTGTTTGATCATTATTAGATCTTTCCCAACAGCAGTGTTTTCGTTGAACATACGTGGAACTCCCTTTCCGATTTGTAGAAAAATGCTAAAATATTAAATTACAGTCACTGAGAACTCATTTTTTCTAATGTGACCGGATCACAGAAAGTACCTCATTTTTTGTACAAAACCATTTTCACTTATTTGAATTTTTGTATTCATATATATTTCCCAACAAGCGACGTCGTACGAGACGCGCGGTATTCTTTGAATTGGCAAACGATTAAATATTTCTTAAAATAAAATTTTGATGGCTCGCTTCAGAATATGATCGACAATATTTAAAAATTGGTAAAATACATATTAGCCAATAAGCTTAAGATTAATACATTTAAATGTTCATTTCTTCTGTAACCTATTAATTTATTATAACTATGATCAATTTTGTTTGTTAACTAGTCTTTCAGTTAAGCTTTGACGAGGGTGTTTGTTCGGTTCTTTCTTAAACAAACGTAATTGAAACTATCACAATTAATTGCTAACAACTTTCGCAAATACAAATTACAAAATACAAATTGCAAAATTTTGCTTAGTAAAAGCGACAACATTCCGAAAAGTTTGTTTACATGCTGCAACAGTAGCAAATAGCCTTCTCTTGACTTCATGCAGCTCACTATTGGAATTTTATACACAGTGAAAACAATGTCACCCTTTGTGACGTAGATCTGCACACATATAGAAACATTTTTCGTTTAGTTTATACTAACGCAATTCATTCAGTTGCACCGTAAACAAAACATACAGAATGTATTTTATATGAATCATTTCTTTCAATTTGCAAAAAAAATATGTAGTAAAACTCCTCGGTATTGAGGGTAAGTTTTAGAGTTCATGATACAAATGTAGTTAGTTATATTTACTGTCGAGTTGTGCTTTAAAACATAAGGTGATTAGCACTTTTGAACAAAGTAGCTTCATTTGAATAAATAGTAAATTAATTATTCAAACAAAAGTCAGGAAAACACAGATTTATAAAGATTACAGGAGACCAGATTAGAAATTTTAACAATAAAATTATTTTTCAAGTCGGTCATGATATAAGACACACGCTGGCAAGTGATGCACACTTATTTATTTGATACACAGTTTTACTTAACATTTCTACTGAAGTATACACGACCAAATTTGTATATTAACTAACAATGACACATATTTTGAACTTTATATATTAGATCTATGATATCTTATGTTTCAATATAATTTATTTTCAGAGAAATCAATTCACACTCGGTGTTTATTTTGTAATAAATATTAGTGCTTTTATTCTATGATTCTGTGTAAATAAATCTCTCAAACTTATTTTTTAACTGAAATATTCATCCTGTGAGCGCTTGTATTCATAATGGAGGCGGGTTATCTTGAAATACTTTTTTATTGAATAATAAAATAAATTGGCTTTCTTCGAAATTCTTCTTGGAATTAAGTCAAACCTTTTGGCAATGGAATAAAAATAATGCAATAAATTTCTTTTATGTTGAAAATCGTACAACAAACGTCGACTAAAATATTTTACAAAATATAAGCAAAGATGATGTCGTACAATGTTTCAAGGGTGAAGAAAATGTCTGCTTGTCTTAAAAGCAAGCACTCAAAATACAGAATTTGAACAGTTCTGAAATAGCGTCTCCGAAGTCAGATACGGTAGAATTTTATAAACAAAGGAACCCCTGGGTGAAAGATTATACGATATTCCATTAATCACATAATGCGCTCTCTCTCTCTCTCTCTCTCTCTCTCTCTCTCTCTCTCTCTCTCTCTCATTATGCTTTTAGTTTTCTATTTCCTCCTTTCTTAGGGCATAAATGTTTATATTCATGCCTATATTAATGTTTTATTTTTCTCTATCTACATTTAACAGCATGTTCATATGAATCTCACGATATCACTCTCAATTGACGACGCATTGGGATGCCTTCTAAAAGCTATGCAAAATATTACTAGACAGTAACATTTCGTTAGACACAACGCAAATACTACTGAACTGTTATGTAATACCAGTCCTCTTATATGACAATAAATGCGGGAAAATCGCTTCTTAGATGAAGAGCAACAGAAATGTGGTCCGACAAACGGATGCTGAGTATACAATATACTGAATATGTGCGCAACGATGTTTTAGAAAAAATAGAAACAGAAAGCATACTAATATGATATACATTGGGTCTACGGAAAATATATGCCGCGTAAAATCTGTGGTATACCAATGTACTATCTCATCCATTGAGAGTCCTAATACTAATATGATATACATTGGGTCTACGAAGAATGAATTTAAAACCAGATGGAGGCAGCATAAGTGCTCCTTCAACAATATTAATAAAATAAATCAGACATCTCTATCTAAATATTTTGGGCATTTGAAGGAAATGAATAAAACACCAAAAGTAAAATGGAAAATTATAAACAAACTAGAACTTGTAAAACTTAGGATAACCCATGCCCTTTATGCCTACATGAAAAACTACACATTATCAAGTTTCTAAATAATAAAAAAAATTATTAAACAGTAGACATAAGTTAACGGTTTTTGCCGACATCATCAAATTTTTGCACTGAATAATTAGCATAAATAAATAAAAAATACTAGTTAAGTCTGACAAAACTGGCAACTTCTATAAATTGACAGCAGATGACTACAACAACTTAATCAAAAAAAATAACGAGGACTTATAAAAAAGTTTACAACAACAACATAAATATGGTTGATAGTATTAACAGAACTAGTAAAAAAATTACTGATAAATTAAAAATTAGCGATAGAGTAGGCAAACTTGCTGAAAAGGAATGTTACATAACTCTTAAGGACCACAAACAAGATTTTATGGAAAACCCTACTACAAGAATGATTAACCCAACCCGACCCGACATAGGTAAGATAAGCAAAAGAATCCTAGAAAGAATTACTTGGCAAATTAAAAAAACACCTTGAATTAAAATGATGGATTAATACCAAAGATTTCATCAATTGGTTTACCAATATTAATAATAAACCTGATTGCACTCTATTACAGTTCGATATTGTGAATTACTACCCGTCAATATCGAAGGATCTGTTCACGACTGCCCTGGAGTTTGTTGCTGTGTATTCTGACCTGACAAAGGAAGAAATGAATATAATTCTCAGTGCAAAAATATCTGTCCTCATTCATAATGGAGACCAATGGATTAAAAATAATAATGACCATTTTGACATCCCCATGGGATCTTTAGACTCTGCAGAGTCTTCTGAACTTGTCGGTCTTTTAATACTGTACAAGCTGACCGCGCACCGTGAATTAGATATTAAGGACATCGGGCAGTATAGAGATGACGGTCTCATGGTAGTGAGAAGTTCCACTAATTTTAAAATAGCGAAAATTAGAAAGATTATATATAGTGAATTAAGATATCTAAATTAAAAAACAACAGTCTGTACTAAATTAAAAAGGGTAAACTTCCTCGACGTAACTCTAGATTTAACAAACAACACATACCTACCTTATAGAAAACCTAATACTAACCCCTTGTATATACACCCTAAGTCAAACCACCCTCAATCCATAATTAAGCATATATCCTCATCAATAGAGAACAGAATCAGCATTAACACCGCTAATAAAGAAATATTCCAACAACAGAGTAATATTTATAACGCAGTCCTAAAAAAAATAAAAAATAAAATAAAAAAATCTCCATAGACGCTTAACCAGACAAGACGAGGTTATCTTCCGCTTTGAATTTAGACACCCCAACCTTACCCTGACTTGACCTCTTTGAATGTAACTGAGATATTGATACAAATTATTAACCAATACGCCCCCCACTTTTTTTTAAAATAATTGCTCTAGCTGTTACCGTAGTAATTTTAATTTTAATAATGAGTATGCTAATAAAACGCGTAAATTTCAAGAATTAGTTATTCCAAAAAAAATTTCGCTGGAAGATGGAACAGAGCTTGGTAATTTAATTCAATTTAATACAAATAATTATATTGAAGTTTTCGGCTCTTGTTTTGAAACATGATAACTCTTATGTAGCATTGGAATCATATTTTTAAATAAATAATTATATATATATATATATATATATATATATATATATATATATATAGGCTGTCCATAAAGTTCGTGTGCACTTTAAAAAATTATAACTTTATTTGTATTTGCGAGAGAAATAATTTGCAAAAAATGTTAAGTTTAATGTACCTAGTTTTATTATAGCTAAAATAACTAAAGTGATTTCAGGCATTACTGTAAATCAGTTGGTAAATTTTTTCCGTGAACTGCAAAATTGTATTACCCTTTGTATTGCTAATGATGGAAACTTAAATAAAATTTCAATAAAACCTTAAAAATATAGATTTCCATCTTTCTAGTCCTTTTTTACAAATTATTTCTATCGCAAATAGAAATAAAGTTATAAATAATTTAAAGTGCACACGAACGATATGGACACTATATATATATATATGAACACTATATATATATATATATATATATATATATATATATATATATATATATATATATATATATTTATTTTTTTAAAAATATGATTTATACGCTAAATAAAAAAAGTAAAAAATAATTCTAAAATAAAAAATAATTATAATAATAATAAAAAAAAAAGAAATAATTATAATGATAACAAATAAAAATAATAAAATAATTATAATAAAAATAAAAAATGAAAATAATTATAAAAATAATAAAAATAAAAAAATAATTATAATTATAAAATCCAAAAATAATAATTTATGTTTACTTTTGTATTGAGGACTGTTTTTTAAAAATAAAACAAAAATACTAATGAACTAAAGAATTATTTACCTAACGTGTTCTTTCCTATTTCCTATATATTTGTACACACACACACACACACACACACACACACACACACACACACATATATATATATATATATATATATATATATATATATATATATATATATATATATATATATATCATATGAAGGCGAAACAATTGAAAATTCTAGGGCGCATATTAAGGAAAGATGGCTTGGAAAATTTGAAACACAGAGAACAGAGTAAATGGGAGAGAGGAAAACAACGCATAATCTACCCAATGAGTCTGAATGGGGGAGAGGTTTTAGGAGAGATAACAAAAAAAATATTTATTAAGATCTAAAAGGGGCAGGTAATTGTGGAGAGCCGTGATCACCAAAGTCCTGAAAAGGGGCCCCATATAGATAGAAGAGTTAATTTTCTCAATTTCCTTCACTCTATATCTATCTATCTATCTATCTATCTACACACACACACACACACACACACACACACACATATCATATATATATATAATATATATATATATATATATATATATATATATATATATATATATATGTCGTTGTGTGTTGGGCAACAAACCCAGTCTGACATACTTTATTTTAAAAATTAAACCATTTCACACCAATCAAGTAAATGAATCCACTAAAATTCAAGTGCTTACTGAGTTTTAGAGAATATGAGAAAAATAGAGATGGAAAATAAAAGGACAAAAATGAAGAACGCAGAAGTTGACAACTGATATTGCCTTTAAATTTTTGAAGAACAACGTTGACTTGCAAGAAAGTAACCGGAACAGATTTGTACAAGCGAGAATTGTAATAGGCGAAAATATTATCATAGAACTTAAGGTTCAGTTTAGCCACTTCTACTGTAAAATGATGAGGCCTTGCTTCCAATTTAGATTTAAACTTAAATTTATAAAGCATAGGTACCATAGAAGAAACTTCATCAGAATAATTACCATGAAAATATTTACAGAAACGGCACAGGAAAGCTCGTTAAAAATAACAAGGTTTTTCTGTTAAATATATTTATTGTGTTGTGTGTACTAAAAAAATATTTTTGGATTTAGTGTCTTTAGAGATTTTCCAAATGATTGTTTGTTCTGAGAGTTCTTGGATCATCTCTTAGCCATATTCAATGATTTGGTTGCGCTATTGCAAATGAGTTGCCTGTTGCTGAAATGATGGGGCATATCTAATTCCCAAATCCAGCCAGTACATTAGGGCCGTGTTCGTAGTTTACATCTATCTATCTATCTATCTATCTATCTATCTATCTATCTATCTATCTATCTATCTATCACAATCTCTTCTTACCTGTCTGTCTGCTTATCTGTCTGTCTGCTTATCTGTCTATTTATATATCTCTCACAATCTCTTCCCTATCTATCTATCTATCTATCTATCTATCTATCTAAGACAGGCTTTTCTCTCTAGCTCTCTCTCAAAATGCATCAATAACATATGTTCGCTCTCTGTATCAGGATATACAGTTTCTCCATATTGAAGTAATTACACTCTGAAGGAGCCACTTATCAATTGACCTTTCCACGAGAACAAATGTAGAAAGGCCTTCTTCATGCATACACAACCATTTAATATATAAATAATGTATATTAAAGTATTTTTGTCATATATATATATATATATATATATATATATATATATATATATATATATATATATATATATATATATATATATATATGCGCGCGTGTAATGAATTTTTAATATCTCCTCTAAATTTGAAAATGACTAGATCAAGAAAGATGCGTATTTCCTGCGGAACTTTGAGTCTGTCTTTGATGTAAGTATAATTTTCTGTGCGTTTACATACAACAAAGATAATTTCGAGAGAAGAAAAAATCAAGAAATTGGTGTCATACATACCGTAAATATTTCGATTGTCTCTTCATCTATCTATCTATCTATCTATATATATATATTTATTTATTCGAAAATATCTGTCTTGGAATGTGGATAGACAGTATCCATCGTTGCCGTCAGTATTGTCTTAATTACTTTATAGCAACAATGGTTTTACTGAGAAGTATCGTTGTGAAGCAATGGTTCGTAAGCTAGTATACTGTCGTAACATATTTGAGCAGTTTTACTTTGTTTTTTTGTACTCTAAAATAAAAATAAATCCACATATACCTTTTACATTATAATGTCCCCAATGCGTAAGTGTAGTGATGTTAGCAATTCAAATATAGGGAAAAGACAAATAAATTATTTTCCGTAAGTGAAATTTTAAACGTTTCTGAATTTAAAATAATGAATGCTGAGATTACTAGAAATTACGACAGAGAAACTATGCGTCTGCCATTAGCATGACTAATGCTAAACTCCAGGAAAACAACACACTATGACATCTTAGACTCACCTTTTCCAATGACATCACGTGGGGCGACTATATCGATTGCTTCGTCAATTGAAAGGAAATTTGATTCACTGTGTCGTGCTATAAAAATATTTCTCCTCAGAATCCATCATGAACATTTATAAATCTATCATTCGTTCGTGCATTGAACACAGTTGCCATATCTAATCTGGTGCTCCTGCTCTACATCTCAAGTTTCTTGACAAAATTCCAAAGAAGGATCTGCTATATAAATGATCCTGAACAGGCATCTCGACTTCAGTCACTTTCATACCGACCTGACGTGGCTTCACTCTCTCTGTTCTACAAATATTTCCATGTTCTAATAAATCGTTTCTCCCTGGTGCCCCAGCTACATGAATTGAAGCGTGTTACTAGATTGGCAACTAGGTCCCACAATTTTACTGATAAACTAGCTAGATGCAATCGACACTTCTACTTTAACCGTTTCTTTTCCCGCACTTCCCACATTTGGTAGTTCCTATTGATTTTGTGCTTACCTGTCTACTACAATCTTCAGAAATTTAGATGCAATGACAATCGTCATCTTCTATCTACGTGAACACTGTTCCTTTTTGTCCTTTCCTCAATTCTCCCTATTCTCAGCCTTCACATACTTCTTATTCTCTTTCATTTTCAATCCTTTTATCTCGCTGCTCTCTAGTGGCATTGCTTGTGAGGAAATAAAAAAATCTAACACTAGAATGCTTCAATCTATTTCATCATTTTATTACATAAAATAATTACAAATGCTCAGATTTATTATCTTTCATAGATGCTAACATTTTATTGGACACAATTTCAGAGTAAATTAGTCCTTCCGCTTTCATTACTCCATTAATTCCCCCAGCATAATTTAATTTAACCGACTCTTCTGTCTTTCGTGAACACACACACACACACACACACACACACACACATATATATATATATATATATATATATCCTGTATTTGTTAGCAATTTTCGAGGTTTGGCTGAAGACCAACAAAAGTTTTTGTTTATGATATTTTAATTTAATTTCTGTGCAGTTTGGACGATTTTTTACTGGAGAAATTTGAATATAAATCTTTCAATGTTGTCTGAGTGAATTGGCTTTGAAAAGCCATTATCAAAGAGATTTTTTTTGTTTTGATGGTGTGGAAAAGTAGACACAGCATTGTCAAATCAAAAATTAAACATTTAACAATATATATGCAAAATTAATATAAAAAACTTAAACACCCTTGCATATATATGTGTATGCATATATATATATATATATATATATATATATATATATATATATATATATATATATATATATATTTATACACGTTTCATTAAATAATATAGACAAGTGTTGTCTATTTATTTTATGTAAAATTTGTTCGTAACATCTGATAAGTTTGATAACATTATCATTATACGAAGAAAGAAATTCACAATATTGATCCATATTTTTTTTAATATAATCTAAGCTTTCGGCTTACTTAAGCCATTATCAAAGATATAAATTACAAACATATTAAACAATATACGGACACGACAGTGATGATAGTCTGTCATTGTTTACATAGTTAATCACTAAGCAACGATAAACACGCGCATATAAGACGCTAGAAGCGAAAATCGCACCGCATCTCATGACGTCACACATGACTACACGAGAGTGAATTGTAGAATGAAGTATATAAGCCGTTGGTATAAACCAATGGTGCGATTACCAATTATAGACATTTAAGAATATTTGTAGAGATGCCATAATTGATTTTGTTTAGGTTGGGATTTAACTGTTTGATGTATAAATATATATGTGTGTGTGTGTGTGTGTGTGTGTGTGTGTGTGTGTGTGTGTGTGATGTAATATATATAAAATTTGGAAACTATTCTTTACTGCTTTAATTGCAAAAGAGCTATAATATTCCTTCACCATACAGTCAGTTTAGATTCACTGGTGTGACAGGGAGTGGCATCTTTCCGATTTTTCCTCAGTTTAGGTCATTTGCAGTAGTGTGCAGTAATATAAATCTATTTTCGGGGTGTATAATGAAATTTGTTTGGGCTTGAATAATATTGCGTCATCAGTGATAGCTTCAGATTTTCATCTCGCCCTGATACTATTTCCTCGACTTTTGATTAATTGTCCTACGGCCATTGACTGCGATGGACGTCACTCCAAGGAAGCGTACGAAACACAATGGCCAGCGTTACCAGTGAGCAAATAAAAGTACATCAACTTTCTCAGAACTCTGATTTAAATTCAATCGAGAATCTGTCACAATCCAAAAGAAAACCGTTCAGGAATAGACATAGAAAGTACTAAACATATTGAATCCGTGGTGTTTCATTAAGAAAAAATAAATAATAACGGAATTATTCGTTTTGTTTCAATTAATTTTTATATATATATTTACGTATATATATATATATATATATATATATGTATATATATATATGTTTGCGTGTATGTGATAACAATTGATGACTGGCACATAATTCCAAGATTAATAATCCAGAGTGCTGATTGTAAATTTAAATTACAGAGTTTTATAATAATGAACATGAGACTTTCTTTTTTCTTGTTTTTTCTTTTTCTTCTTCTTTTTAATTAGAATGGAGAAAACGATGATGATAGTAATGATGAAGATGGTTAAGGGAAAAAAAATTGAGGCAAAACAAAGAGAACTGCAAAAGAGTCCCAGTGTACTTGAATTGACTGTATTTTTAACCTTTCTTTTTGAGAAAGATAATTTGTAATAAATGTACAACCACACATCCTTGTATTCTCTGTCCAAAGGAGGAGAGAGAGTGCAAGAACAATTTGTCATTGTAATTCTTGATTTATTAAATATATATATATATATATATATATATATATATATATATATATATATATATATATATTTGATATATAATGTTTCAAACCCATAAAAATTTTTAATTCTTCGTTGTATTCATAAGCTACCTTTAAGGCCATTTTGAATTCATTGACCATCAATTAGTACTATTTTCGGTTGAAATTTATAAATTATTTCATTTAAAACAGTTTTTTTTTGGAAAAGACGTTTCTGAATCCTGTCTCAACAGTGCTCTTTTTTAACTTTGATTTTTCGACTATTGATATTCGGGTTTTTCTTTGTGATTCTTTAGCACAAGTCCACAATGTTCAGACATGAAAATCTTTTTTCCTTGTGGATTGTTGTTAACTTTTCAAATTCTTTTTTTTCTATTGATTGATTGGGTCTCTATAAAAAAAATATTTGTTACAGATAAAGTTGGTTTTATTTCTGAACTGGTTTGCTTCAATGTCCTTCAACATCCACATGATAGTCTTGATATAGCGAAGATAATTAATGACAGATGTTTAGGCTTCCTAGCAATTTGCGGATTGGGACGAAATTACCATTCGCGCAGGCTATTCTGTATTCAGCTGTTTTTTTTCAAATAATTTAAATCAATTTATAATTGATCCATATGCCAACATTATAGAGCTTATTGTTTAGAAATTATCAATTTAAATTCACCAAGTTGCACTTTGATTGGAATCAATAAATAGCACATTTATAAAAAATTATTACGAAAATTGGTTAATAAATCCATTTAAAAAAATGCTGTAAAAATCAACTCAATTTAACCTCAGTATGCTTCATTATTCGTTTGAATCTAATAAAGAACAATGAAATCTTTAAATATAAAAAAAAAAAGTAAATAAAATAAACTCAACACATTAAAATAAAATTTTAATTATTAATGTTTTAAAAAGACCGAACATTCCAGGCTGCCCCAGTGATTATCCATGGATCAAAAGTGGTGTTTGGTGACCAAAAATATATAATATATATATATATATATATATATATATATATATATATATATATATATATTATATATATATAACATATTTCCAATTTATCGATGTGCATATCAAATTTCGTTTTCAGACAAGTTTGTTAAAAAGGTTTGTCCAGCTATCGATAGATTAGAGGGAAAATAGGGATTCATACCTATTCTAATATATATTTGGGCGAACGGTGACATAGCAGACGCGGTGGAATCATACAAAACCGAATTCATACCCGTTCTAATTGAAACCCGGTCGAATTAAAACCCCACCGAATTTAGATCCGG